TCATGATACCAGTTAAGGAGCCTGTTGAGTTGTCTCCATTTTGTCCTTTGAGATCCATTTTCTATCCATTTCTACTCTGCTGTGAAACCAAGAAGGCTGACCTGTATGATTTGCTTGACTTAAGCACCCTTGGGTATCCAGTTGAGGTTGACCTGTGTGAGACTCCTGCAAGGTAGAAAGAGAATGTGTGTAGGGTCTTTAGTCTATTGGCAGCTTCCACTCTGGGCCACGCGTTGCCAGTGTCTGGGCCATTCTATCAAAGGCTATAGATACTGTCTGTAGCATTTTTATACAAGTGTGGCTTTTCAGAGTTCCAGGATAGCAGTTTCTTCTCCACCCTCTTGTGACAGTTCCTTCCTGCTACTAACTTTGGGGTGCTTCACTCATGGTTATTGGTTGGTTTTAATACTACACAAGCCTCTGTAAATGGCCCCTTTTATGAAACAATTTTCAATGACCTTTCTGAATGTGTGTTTTCTGAAGAGACCCTGGCTGGCACAGAACCAGTTGCAACAGCCCATGGGAGTGATGATAAAGTTTTGCATTAATTAACCATTACAGAGATTAAGAAGAGGACACGTTTTTGAAATTACTTTCTAGACCCACTCAGTGGTTGCATGGTGATCGGGTGTGAATCTATAAAAGCTAGTGACAAGGGTGGCTGGAGTTAACATCACTACCTTCCCCAACACCTCCTGCCTGGACAGTGAGTTCTTACAGGCAAGTGCATATAATGTCTTCTTCCTCCTCCTCAGTGAGGCCAAGCCATTTATAAACCCATCAGAAGCTCTCTCTGGATTTTAGCAAATAATCTACTGGAGGGTCAGCTGGTGCTGTGGAAGCAGAAGGCTGGTTAGTTAGCCACTTGGGAGATGTTACCAGGATGGCTGGAGATCAGAAGCACTGCTTATTTTCATAATGACCTTCAGGAATTAAATAAAAATACAATGAGTGCCATAGATTAGGAAGAACAAGCCAATTAAAAGCATAACACGCCTTAGGGATTTTTATTTCTTTTCCAGGAGGCTGAGAGGCATCAGTGGCCTCTGAGGCATGATGGCAGCCTAGCCAGAATTACTGATGAAGGCTGCTCCCCTTGCTTGGCTTTGTGGGATGGTTGAGGGGATTTGAGGCTGTTGAATATTTCACAAGTTGCAGCCCATAGGGCGAGAACTGAGGAAGGTGAAAAGGCAATCTCTGTGTTTCTTTATGATTCCAATATAAAACCAAGCTGCACAGAGCGGGAGGGAGGCAGGCGCTGGAGTCAGCCTACCACCGGAAGGCATGGTGCACCAATTCTCCCACTTTAATATCTGCTGTTTCATTTTATATTCATCATGTCAGCATAATCTGCCTTTATGGGAATCGTCTTGGTTCCCGACCAAATGCGTTTAGTCCCCCTTTGCTTTAAGTTTGATTGTAATATGACTTGAAGACTCCAATGAAATGTTTATATGGAGGGACCAGGGGAAGAAAAAGGGGAAAATGCAATTGGAAAATCAATCAGCAGGGAATTTCAAGAGCTGGCTTTGGTCATGCTACAATCTCTTTGACCTGTTTTTAATGGACAACGGCCTGGCTCTCTGATCAAACTTGTTCTGCCAGCTCCTTACTGCGTGCCAAATAAAGTACACGCTTTAGCACGAGTACTGAATCCCCTGCCTCTGTGGGATTTGCATTTGTTGTGCTCTTGCTTTCGTATCTCACTCCATTTCCTGGGTTTTCCAGCTAGTCCTTGACTTATCACCTCTGAAGAACAGCAATGTCTGTCCTCAACTGTGCCCATGCTACTCTATTTGTGAGAAGTTCTTGGTCTCTAAGCTTAGAGGGTCCTTTCTTGACGTTGAGTTCCCAACAGATATTTATTCTTTTTTAAAATTATCTGATGAGACTTAACATCCTGAATTATATTTTTTACTAAGTTTGCCATCATATTATGGACATGCATAAGTATCTGTATGCATATACACACTTATGTAAGTATACACTTACTTATATTTCAAAGATCCAGTAACTATTTACTAAAAATTTATGATATGTCAAGTAATTTTCAGAACACTTTAGAAATGGTAGGACATAAGGCATATAAGGTCTCTGTTCCCCTTGAGAGACAGAGAATAAACACATATTCAAGTAAATATTTCTGATAAATTTCTTATAGTAACCAGTGCTATCAGAATTTTATGTGAAGGGAGCATAATAGAGATTCGATATACTTAGAGAGGAGTCCTTCAGCTCAAGTGTTCAGGCACAGTTTCACAGAGCAGGTGTCATTTGGACTGGGGGATTAATGCTTAGAAGAAACCAATTTTTAAGCTCTGGGAGGAGAGTTCCAGGACGATTGGACAGAAAATACTTATTCCGTGATACAAATGGGAGCTCACACATTTAACAGATATATTAAGGCCTATAGGACTATAGCTCAAGAAGAAGGGGATTAAGTAGGGAAGGGATAAGTCAGATAATTCAGAACCTCATAGAATGTTCATGTATGTAGGTCATGGCATGGGGCATGGAAGACAGCAGGTCCTGTAGAACTTTTATTGTTAACAGATTCTGAGCTTCTTGCAGGCAATTCATTTATCTCCATACTCTGAGCTTCTAAGTAGCCTGAAACTGTTTAGGACCATGCTAAACTACATTGAGTGAGTGAGTGAGAGAGAGGGTGAGTAGTGAGTGAGTGAGTAAGTGAGTGAGTGAGTGAATGAATACCATGGCTTTTTGCTTCCACTAAAGTAGTTTTCATTTTGCAGTCTCCTGCTCTCTCTCCTATTGTCCCAACAACAGTCTATTTGTAATAGTGTAAGTCCAGAGCTATCCTCTGTGATTCAATATTTACTATGTTTCACACACTGTTATTATCGCTTAACGTTTACTGTCTGCTGACTGTGCAATCATCGCTGTAGCAAACAAAGAGCTCAATCTAGTTTTGTTCATGGGCTAATTTAGTCAAAGAAAAGGAGATGCTGCAAATGGGATTGGCATTGTAGAAATAGCTATGACTGGAAATCTACCGAGTCCAGCTGAGAACAGATTCACCAGTGGCCTTAAATGAGTCACTAAGCATCTGTAACCTTCTGTTGCTTAATGGGAACATGAGTAAGGAAAGCCTCATGCATGGTGGGATTTCACAGCTCCAGGAGACTGGAGCTCAGATTCCCAGCACTATCCCTGGGCTTATTCCACCTGTCTAAACCAGGCAGTACAAGCTAGTTGTTTCCTACTTTGGTGGTATTCTATAGTTTTAGATTCTTCAGTGCTGGTTTAGCTACAACTACTTCAAGTGCCAAACATCAGCCTGAATACCCCAGGTCTCCAGTTTCGGACTTCGAAGCACTTAGGAAAAGGGTGAAGTGCTGAGCAAGACCATTTATTATAATGCTTCCATCATATTGTGGTACAGTTGGCTGCTGCCAGAGAAGAAAGCTAGTGTATCAAGCACTGAGATTGGGAAGTGGGTTGGTGGCAAAACTGAGCTCCCCCTCCACAGAGAAGGGAAACTTCTGAGAAAGACCCAGCCAGTGTCTTCTACTTAAGAATCACAATAGCTCTTAGGGCCTTTCGGGTTATGGCTCTAAGAGCTGACTAGCTTCTATGATTCCCTCCATCTCTGCTTATCTCTGACGAATCCTTCGAGCAGTCCAAGACTGTGCACTTGGAATAATAATTCATCATTCTCCAGTCATTTTGACTTTCTTTTGGAATGAGGGTTAGGCCCTGGAAGATGGCTTGTGTTATAGTTTGTGGTTGAGAATACACAGGAGGGAAAGGGTGTGGAGGGAACCAAGATTTTAAAAAAACGCATTTGTATGAAGCCATGAAAGGCTAATACCTTAGTCTAGGTAGTTGATTGCAGGAACAGAGAAGGCTGGAATGCTGATTATCTTTTGAAGAATTCCGCAATAGCCTGGAAACCCTGAAATATATACCATTAAGTATATCTTTATCATTGTTTCATAGCAAGTGAAGACTGAATTAGATCCTATCCATATTAATAATTTTGATGATTATTATAAATCAATAACTAATTTAAAAATTCCTAACTAATTTTCTTCAGTCCTCCCCTAAGGATTTTTGATTGGTAACATCAAGAAATTAAAGTCGCCGGGCAGTGGTGGTGCATGCCTTTTATCCCAGCACTTGGGAGGCAGAGGCAGAGAGATCTCTGTGAGTTCAAGACCAGCCTGATCTACAAGAGCTAGTTCCAGGACAGCCTCCAAAGCCACAAAATACCCTGTCTCGAAAAACCAAAAAAAAAAACAATAAAAAACAAAAACCAACAACAAAAAGAAAATTAATGTCTGTTTTGATTGGAGTATGTAAGGAAACTTCAGCTGGATTTGGTTGAGCCAAGGAGATACTTCAGTGTCAGCAGATGACATGAGGGCTGCAACTGTGCCAGGAGAAGAGATGATTGGATAAGACAAAGCTTGAATTTGGCCAGTCTCGTCAGTCATTCTCTCTGTGTGAGAATGCACATGTGACCTTTGGGCATTTATCCCGTCCCTTGCCAAATGGGTTTGACCCTAGTTACCCCACCTGAGTCATATACTCTGTTGGACCTTTCCAGCTCCAAGCTTATACCCTGGGGATTGCCAGATCAGTGTCTGTGAAATTCATACAGGAATTTAAGGATGTTTCTCCCTTTGTTTTCTGCTAGTAGTACAACCTCATAGAACTGGAGCACTTTTATCCTTTTGCTTACTGTTGCTCTACTGTAGGAGAAGAATTACCTTTTCACACATGAGGTCTTAGAAAAAGTCCATCAGAGGCACCAAGGTCAAGTAGTACCTCCGGTCCTATGTTATTAAGCAGTATCTTGGCCTTGGTTTCCCATCTATAAATGGAAGTGGTAACTCCTGGATCATAGGTGGTAGAAGGAAAAAACATCTTGACACATTAATTGGCTCCTGAGTTCAGGAGTGTGTGAAGCAGCTTTGCTCCCAAAGCACGGAAGCCTGGCATGTATCTCACGCAGAGCTTTTGGTCTTGTCTTGCAGAGATGTCTGGCACAGCAGCAGATATTTCTCTGGTGCACTGGAGACAGCAGTGGCTGGAGAATGGCACACTCTACTTCCACGTCTCCATGAGCAGCTCCGGGCAGCTGGCCCAGGCCACAGCTCCCACACTCCAGGAGCCCTCAGAGGTCGTCGAGGAGCAGATGCATATCCTCCACATTTCTGTGATGGTGAGTGGCTGTGCCTGTGACCACGGTGGGGGACAGAAAGAAGCGTGGCATTGTCCACAGATGGGAAACATTGGAGTATGCCAGTAAGAGGGCAGTGCGATCCTCAAAAGGTCAGGTGAATTCTGTGGTGTTACCTGGACTGACACAATCACATCTGTCATCTGTCAGCTGTGACAAACTAACTGTGCTTCAGAGGAGAAAATAAAGGGGGCATCCAACTCCTTGGCCTTTTGGCTGACATGTCTGGGAATAGCTGTTTAACATCTGTCCCGTGCTTGCCTTGCTTGGCTGAGGGCTAGGGTCCTAAGCTTCTATATACAACTGGTCTCTCTAAGAATTGCTGAACAAACAAAGTTGGAGCAAAACTGGAAAAGGAGGATGCTCTTTCCTAAGTGCCCCAAAGCAGCTGCTTTAAGGCTCACATCTACTCCAGGGTGGAAACAAGGGATGGAGCAGGTGTAGCCAGCGCAGCACTTAGGATGGTGCCTCTGATCCTCTTGAATTCTAGGTGCTGAGTACTCCAGCAGGGGGGAGAAAAAATCATTTACCCAGTGTGCCACAGCCTGCAAGCAATACTCTGCTTTTGCGTGTGCAAGCCAACAGTGAGTCCTGTAGGCTCTGTTGTCTCTCAGTCGGAGATTGTCTTGTTTATCTCTCATTTGTCCAGCGCTGTGCTGTACACATTTATGAAAATTACCTGATTTTAGCGAACCAAGAATGCATAAAGCAGAGTACATCACCTACATATTAAAAATGAAATTAGGAGCACAGAGAAGCAAAGATGTCTTCTAAGTCTGTTGAATGACACAGCTCAGTGACCCTGTTGTCACCCCTGAGGAGTCTCCTGGAATCAATGGAGCAGTCTTCCAATAATAGTTTCATTTGAAGAGTTAGAATTCATGCTGTGTTTGTGTGGGGGGGGGGGAGAGGGGACCAGATAGCACCTACTCTATCTCTCTTCACTTTGTTTCTTGAGGCACAGTGTCTCACTGAACCTGGAGCTCACTGGTTTGTTAGACTAGCTGACCAGCAACCTGTGAAATTCTTTTGTCTCTGGTTCCTGATGCTGGACTACTGGTGCATTTTACCACACCTGGCTTTTAAATATAGATTATGGGGAAACAAGCTCAGGTTTTTGCGTTTGTAAAACAAGCACTTTACCAGATGAATCTTATCTTCAGCCCTGCAATTTGTATTTCTGCATTGCAAACAGAAAAGTAGCAACAGACATATTTAGTATACAGAAAGCACATGTGGTAGGTTTGGGGTAACATTTGATAAGCACAATGCCAGTTTTCTTGCAATATTATATTCTTCGAAGTCAATCTCAAGTTATTTCTTTCCACGTGGCCTTTAGAATGGATCTAGTGAATAAATAAAAATATGAAATGGTACTCTAACGTGTATAAAGAGAAAAACAGAGCTCAGAAAATTGAGTGATCTGCATAAATACTACTTCTTACCTCTTTAGTTCTTCCTTTCATCAAGAGTCACTATCTAGTGAGATTTTACTGAGGAACAGAACTTTGGTTTATTTTCTTCTCAACCACCACTGCAATAGATGTTCTGATTAGGACTGAGTGCGATCGTAGAATTTTTCTCTTTTTGGAAAAACATACGCACACCCCAGCCAAATAGCAATGTTAATTTTGGACCTAACGAGTGCTCATCACGTGTAGGAACAAATCAAGGCCTTTGTGTTATTCATGGAATGTGTGTGGTAGACTTTTTCCATATATATATTTAGCAAATGATGCAGCCACATGTCAACCCAAGTGGGTGCCTGCACACTAATTTTGGGGTGCAAATTTGTAAACATCTTTTCAGTGTGCTTGCTCAGTTCCTCGTGGGCTTTGAAGTATCATCTGATGTTAAGAGAGGTGGGGGTGTGACTGCTCTTCTGGCTTTAGTGTTTGGGCATGAGACTCAGCTTTGATTAGTATTTTTTAGCTACTTTCCAACTTTTGCAATAGTGTTTACTTACATACATTTTCCCTGCAACCCAGTAACCCATATCAGATTATCTCAATTTTAAGTGAGCCCTGGATTTACCTTTTCTGACTCCAGTCCTAGTGCTGGTTTTAGTAAATCAGAATCACATCCCTGACTTCTTTTTCTTTGCTCAGCAAATTTAGCTTGCAAAGAATAACTCAACATGAACCAGATGTCACTGAATTCCCTGCAGTATTTACCAGTAGAAGAGGGAATTGAAAGGCTGACATACTGTGCAACACACACACACACACACACACACACACACACACACATCTGCAATATGTGGTTCAGTAGTCAGTAATCTAAACAGATTGTTTACTGTCTCTTTCTTACCCCCGTGGACTGCTTACATCTTGCAGACACTGAACCAAAAGTTGGCTGTTGCTGTAGGGTGGCTTCTCAAACATGGGGCTACTCTCTGGGGCTATTGCCAGCCCCAGAGCCAGCATAAAATGTTTGCTTTTCCCAGTACCTTCTCTAGGGGCTCTTGTACTGACTGTTCAAATTTCTGTCCTTGTTTTGTCATGTATGGGATAGACGCTGTACTAATATATACAACTACATCAAGCCCTTAAATCAGAAGAGCTTTCATTAAAGCCATATAAGGGCATTTGCTTTTGTCACTGGCAGTAGTTAAGTTGAAAAGGTAGAGACCGTCTGATTTATTACACTCTCCTATTTTATGAATGGGAAAATTGAAGTTCACATTAGACTCATCACAGCCTACAGTACACTGGATAGCCAGGGCTTTAAAAGCCATGGTCTCTATGCTCATTTCATGGCTAAACACAGCTGAGCAAGAACACAAAAGGAAGTGTTTGTTTCTGTGACCATTGAGAATGGATTCCAAAATGATTGAAGTCTGTCTTCTCTTCTGTAAGGTGAGAAATCTGAGACTCAGAAAAGTTACTTGGTCATGTCTCTATGATATGGAGGCAGTTCTGAGACCATACTTCCCCTAAATCCAGGCACATACCACTTGGTTACTGCATGAGCCATGGTTTTCATTTCTGGTAAAAGTGGAAGATGATTTGTGAGAAGACCAAAGTGAAATAGCAAAGAGGGATGTGTGGAATTGAGAAGCCACAATTTGAGTTTCCCTCCCTCATCATGAAGGAAAATCACTTCCTTCTAGTCCTTCATACTCCTCCAGTCTATGGCTATATAGGTGGAGCCAAATGCTCCTTGGCTTCTCACATCCTCAATGGAGCAACTCGTTAATCCCCAAATTGTCCACCATCTGATTATGAGTATCACAAAGGATGCTGCAACAAAGATGTTCTCAGTGAACCTGGGCGAGAGAGGCAGAGTGTCATCTCATTCTCCTATACTAGCTAGCCTTCGCTGCTGTCAGCCCCAGCCATACAGGAAGCTAAATGCCCAGAAGAGAGCAGAGGTTTGGAATTAGCTCAGCTGGTTCTGAATTTAACTTCCACTCCTCTGCCCTTCTTACATCTTCCCTTACTTTTACCTTGACTGAGTCCCTTAATACTGCTCAAACTTCGTTTTCTTATCTATAAAAGCATACTGATTATATCAATCTCACAGAGTGAAGAGAGTATATAAATAGTCCTTAACATTATTATGCATGGCACATAGTGAGGCCACAGAGATGGTGGCTATTAATATTACCATTGAAGCAGTGAGTATTTGAACAAGTGTGAAGACACAGGTCTTGTCTTATTGGTGCTGCATTGCTGCTCTGTTGCTGTCTGATGTAGAGGAAATTGTCACATCACCTGACATTTCTTTCAAGTACTTGCTATTTACTGTGATGTTCTGTAAATTCTTTTTATATATGCATTATAACACAGTTTTTGCTATGTCTCAAAGTGGATGCTATTTCAAAAAACACAAAATACAAATAAAAATAGTTACGTTATACTTTGAGGATTCAAAAGCTAAATGGTAAAAACTGATAATTTGTTAAAGCCTCATTTCTGTTTCTGACCTCTGTAATATATTGACTATCATGTCTCTTATTTGTCATTATCTTTAAATTCTATGATACCCATAAGTGAATTCTTAAAATTAACCCCCCTTATGTGGAATTCATAGGCAGATTGACGGGGCTTATGTTTTAGGAGTCAATTCCAAGTTGAATACTGTCTCTATCCTTAGCTTTATATCTTTGGCCAAATCACATCTTATAAAATTAGGGTAATATTCCCCAATTCTTAAGAGTGTTTCCTAAGTGTCAATTGAGGTCACATTCACTTCCCTCTGCAATGAACAGTGATGACCACTGGCATGGGGGAACTTTCTCAGCCTGGCAATCTAAAGGCAGCGCTTGTATCATTGTGCTTAATAGCTTCAAAGCCAGCCCGTAAAAGAGGATGCTGTCATTTATCCTGTTTGCAGATGAGGAACCTGGGAGTTTGTGAGATTATGAAGCTTGCTCATGCACATCACCAATAAATGCTGAAACTGAGATTGCGACTCCAGTCTGTGCAAATTGAACGTCTGTGTTCTTGGGCATGATTTCCATGGCATTGTGCCTGCCAGTCAGTAAGTGCTCAAAAAGCAAAAGCTGTTATTAAAATGTTAGCTGCAGTAAGGGTCTATCATGCCTGATATTTATGGAGTAATCACTCCGGGTGCTCAAAACACTTGATAGAACTTGGAACCTTGTCAGCTTGGGAGAGAGGTGCTGCTCATGCCAGCAGTTTATCGATAGGAGCAAAGAAAGCCAGAGGAAGCTGAACACTTTGTCTTCAGGTACAGAGCTAGAACAAGCTCTTGGCTCAACTCCTGTAGGTACCTTTTGCATTCTTAGTCAGCACCAACTCTCAGTGTCAGTCACTCGGTCAGCTCTGGTTGACATCTGCATATGTAAATGGTAGCAAACAGGTGTTCTTAAATGAGTTTTTTTTTAAGATTATAATATAGTTACATCATTTTCCCCTCCCTATCCTCCCTCTTGAGATTCCGATGAAGTCCTCCTTGCTCTCTTTTGAATCCAAGGTCTCCTTTTCTTTGTTGTTTCATTAACATGCATGCTTCTA